CTAAACGTCTTTTGCCACTTGGCTTCACAGATACCCATATATATAAATGTGTGTGTATTATATAAATATATATATATATATACACGCGCGCACATATATATATATATACATACATATATTTGTCAGGTCAGATAGAAACAAACTTCCGATTAATCCAGATACTTGGAATCCTATGAATGAAGACATTGTCTCTCTAGAATAGATTTCATTGAATTTCTTTGAAAAGCGTTTTAAGGGTCAAGTTTAATTTCAATACACCGTTGCAAAGATTTTACACGGTCAACTAACTAGAAATCATTATCGATACGACATTTAACGTAACTATTACAAAAGTCAACATTTCCAATTAAACAACAATCCATGACCAATAGTATTCTAATTAAATTCATTAGAGGTCTCCACATTAGCAGCATCCTTCCACAATTATCCATTACTTCTGTAACCGTAAAACAACCACATCTTAATTTCCATTCCATAATCACCGAACACACTTCCCTAAGTCATAAATAATCACAATAAGATAGCAAAATCGGCATACCAAGGCACGTCGAAACCGCAGCTGCACGCGAGCCGGCACGACGCAACATAACGCACACCGTTCACGTCTTCAGCGCTCCACATTGAACGGTTATCTGCCAAAAAAGCAGGTCAATGAGCAAATGCATAACAACTACAGTTACTTACTCGGTTAGAACTCTAAAAAAACTACAAAACGCCGCCGTTTTTGCTTCCTAAAAGTCGCTAGAACTTCTCACAACATCACATTCCACAAGTCAAAATCCACCGCCAAGCCGAGTCACCGAAAGCATTCGATTCGATAAACAGAACGAAGCAATCCAAAGAAGAGACAGAGAGAACGGTTTAGAGAGAGTACGATATGGTGCGGCGGCGGAGCGAGCGGCGGCGCCGGAACCGGCGTGGAAACGAACGGCGATGGCAGGCTCGATTATCATCATGGTGTTTTGGTGATTGGTTTGGTTATTTTGGTTGGCAGAGAATATTATGAGAGATCCGTAGCGCTTTGAGGTAGAAGATGAGCCTTTGTTTTTTGGATTAGCTATGGTCCGTGGTGATCTGCTACGGACAAAAACATTGTCAAGTGTGTGCGCCTGGTCACGTGACTTATTTTGACTGGTTCATCCGGTTTTAAACCCAACGTGTCAAGTTTATTTGGATTGGAATAAAACTTGGGTCGGGTTTCAGCTTTTGTTGTTTTTCTTTATTCAAAATATTGCACCTTCTGTAGCTTTGCGTGTGATTTTTCCTTTTTAATTTTAAATTATTACTTTTCTTAAAGCAAATTTTTACGTTTTTAAACTCTGGTAAACTTAAAATAAATAAAAATTAATAATAATTGTATTACCCAAAGATGAGTTCGGGCCCAACCTAATTCGGTAACCCGTTTCAGTTGGCCCAACTTGACACGAGACCCGAGGACATACACGTGACACCGCAGCCCTACCCTACAGTAAGAAACGCCGTCGTTTCGGATCGAGTAATAAAATATCCATCCATCCCAAACTCTTAGCGGTATTTCACGTTTGTGTTCTTCGCTTACAGAACAGTATACTACACCACACTTGTTTCTCTCTCTGAAATGGTTCAAAAGGGTAAGAGTTCGCAACGCTGAGTTTTGAGTTCCACAACACTGGACTAAAGTGTGCTTAAGCCGTGGTATGTTTCTTTTCTATTTTTTCTTAATTCAATTTTCAGTGGAACTGGACGCTGTAATGATGAAGGTTGTGTGGCTGTCATTGATGAATAATTTATGTCACAACAAGGTGTAGATTTTATGTCGTTGTGTGAATTTATGAGCTTTTTCATTGAACTTGTTTGCCCTGTTAGTTTATTTATCGACAAATTGAAAACCCAGTAGCAGTTTTTAATGTGTAAAATGAAATGACGTGGTTGAGAAAAGGTTGCTCCTTATGTGCAAATGATGCTGAGGGATGGATTTATAAAAATTAAAATTAAAATTAATGGCATGTATTACCTAGCTGTAACATAGCTGAAAAAGCTGATTCAAATAAGTAGATAAAGAAAATGAGTTTTTCTGGTTTTGTTAAAATTGGTAACAAGTATTGATTTTATGTATCAGGCTGGTTGGTATCTTAATCTATGTTTATGTTGTGGTACACAGAAGCTGGAATATTGAGACTGCTAAAAGCAAAAATTGGAATCAGAGGCTAACTAAATTGCTCTTTTCTTCGTAATGATTATTATTGTTACATAAGTAATTGTTGCTATGCCATAAATTTCCCACCGAGACCAAACAGGCAGTCAATAATTTGTGAAAGCATAAGAAATTGAGTATGCTAAAAGGAATTCATAACCCTGGACTCTTTGTAAGTCCTCGTGATTGTTTATGTCCTCATGATGTTTTGTCTTCTATTTTAGAGTTTTTTAGGTCCTCAAGATGCTTGCACTCACTGATTCTCCTCTACTTATTGCTAAAACATTTGAAGCAATAAAAATACCAACAAGTACACGAGGCACTGTGGTAAGATCCTAAGGTCTACACTTTTCAGGATGGAATACTTTTTACATCAAATGTTTTAGCTCTACTAAATGAAACAGTTGATAAACCTGTCTGAATTTCATTTTTTTAATACTAGGTATGTGCTGCAAAAGGTCCAAGACCTAGATATCCCCGAGTTTGGAAGACCAATAAAAAAATCGGGACCATTTCCAAGGCTGCTAAGCTAGTTAATTCTGTAAGTGTCTCTCTATTCATTTCTGTCATTAACCTGATAATTTAAGCTTCAATTGTTTTCTCTCTTGGAAGTTGTGGCATTCTCATTTTTTCAGAAACTTTCAGACTGATTTTTCTTGGATGTTTTTGCATTTCTCTGGTAAAGTAATTTTTCTAATGTCTTGTACAGATTAAGGAACTGTCAAATGTCAAAGAGGAAGTTTACGGGGCTCTTGATTCATATGTTGCTTGGGAGTTAGAGTTCCCTTTAATCACGGTGAAAAAGGCACTCAAAACCTTAGAATTTGAACAAGAGTGGAAGCGGGTAATACAGGTACTTTTAAAAAAGTATTGTATCCAGAAGAATTTGTAATGTTCTTTGTTTTGTGTACTTCTTGTCTTTCTTTAAAGTTGCATCGAACAAGTTCTCTGAAACATCTAAAGATAGATGTTCAGCCCAAATTTGCATCTGATTTTATTTATTTATTGTTGTTTCCCTACTCTTACAATTGCTCCTGCTGTACATTCCATATGGGGATAGCCTATGAACTAATATCCGTATGCAAATTACACATGACACTTTAGGTAACAAAATGGATGTTGAGCAAAGGTCAAGGAAAGACAATGGGAAGTTATTTCACTTTACTTAATGCTTTAGTAGAAGATGACCGTCTTGATGAAGCTGAAGAGCTTTGGACAAAGTTATTAATGCAGTACATGGAAAGTTTGCCTCGTAGATTTTTTGATAAAATGATATCTATCTACCGTAAAAGGGACATGCATGATAAGATGTTTGAGGTATTATGATTTGCAGTTCTATCAGTTTTAACTATTTAGCATTAGTTTAGATAAATTTCTCAATAAACACTTATAGGAGGAAATAAGAAGGAAAATTTAAATCAATTTCTCTATAAGTTAAAATTAGTTAATATACAAATTAATGATAAGTTTTTGGAGAAACTAATACAAAAGAGTTTTTACAAATTAGCTTATGTGTAAATTAATTTTAGCTTATGTAGAAATTTATTTCTTTTTTCTTTTTTCTTCTCTTATTAAGTACTTGTGGAGAAGTTCATCAAAAGTAATCCTTACTCAATGACATTATTGAATAACAGTAACATGTCAACATAACATGTTCCTAAATTAGTAAGACTAGATGATACTTTATTTGAATGTATCTGATTCTATAGACTTGACACATCATGGATATTCACTTCTTGATTTCTTCTGTAGATATTTGCAGACATGGAGGAGCTTGGTCTTCGACCTAGTATTTCTGTGGTCTCAATGATTGGAGAAGCCTTCAAAGAGCTGGGTATGCTAGACAAATACCAGAAGTTACATGCAAAATATCCACCACAACAATGGGAATATAGATACATCAGAGGAAAGCGTGTAAAAGTCAAAGTGCAAGTTCAGTCTAATCAGGTCAACACATACTTAAAAAGGCATGAGAATGTTGAAACAAACTTGGACTTAAACAATAATTATAAATCTGAAGAAGAGACTTCAGAGATAATTGATGATCAACAACTCAGACAGGATGCAGATATAATATCCATGGAACCTGAACAAATTTCAAATGATATGTATGACAGTATGGAACCTATTTTGGATGTGTAATGGAATGGGAGAATGATGATAAAAAATTATTTCAGATAAGTTTCTGTTGGCAGTTATTGTTTATCATAGTTGAAATCATTATGTGCATGTCCATGTCCTACAAGTTAAGAGTGAAGACACTCTAGGAGAAGGACTAGGAGAACAAGTTTTTAAAAATTTCACAAAATGTGAGGTTGAGAATCTGATGATGGCTATTTCATTAGAGGATATCAAATAATTCATTAAACGAGCGATCTACTACTCAGGGATCCTGCAATCAAGAAGCCAAAGAGTTGAAGTTCTCCGAAGCCAGTATCAATGCTGAATTCAACATGGGTGCTATGACTTGAAATTCACAAGATGCACGTTTCTGCATTAGAGAGACTTTGATTACGCTGTTATGCAGGTTGGTTTTGTATTGTTTCTTATATGTATAGTATTCAAATTCTATTTCTAATTCTAATTTATGGGTCTAAAACTTTTTCAAAATCCAGACTAGAGCATGAGAGTCTGGCAACATGTTTGTTTTTGCGTTTGTGAAGGGAGATTTGTGTTTTCTTTATGTGATATTTAGAATTTATAAAGTAAAGTATTAAAACTAGCTTTCCATCCAACAGGGCTTTTTAATGCTTGTGGTGTAGTTTTTGAAACTATTTACTTAAGTGAGATTGTTTTGTAACTATTTATGCCTTTTGAGTCGTTTTACACTGTCACTATGGGTCACGTGATACATGTAATTGGTTATTTTAGCCATGAAAGCCATGAAGAAAGAGTTTATTATTAGTCACTATAGGTTATAGTGACAAAAAATTTTATAAGTACAAAATAATTTCCTTAATCTTTTTTTATTCTTTAATTTTTTAGTTTTATACTTCTAATTTTTAATTTATCACTTTTTTCTTTTTCGCACACCTCTTTTCTTCTCTCTTTCAGTTTTTAATAAATAGTTTTAGTTTTCTCGATTTTGAGATTACTCTTTTCCTCTCCCCCCTATCTCTTTCACTTTTCACATGCACTCGAACAGTAGAATTGGGGCGTAATGGTGTTGTAGGCAAGTGTAGTTTCCTTGACAGTTTTTGTCAACCAGATGCCCATGTTTTCCTCCAACACTTACTTCCCTTTTACACTTTCAAAAACCTTAACATTAAATTTAGTGTTATAGAAAAAATATTTCGGAACACTAATTTCACAATTTTGGAGTTCTTTATAGAATAGTAAAATTAGCATTCCAAATAACATTTTCCGGAATTGTGTTTTTTATATACTTCTAGAAAGTTCTTTTTGGAACAGTAAATTTAGTATTTCGGAAAGTACTTTTTGGAAGTAAGTAAAATAACACACTACTGGAATGTACTTTCCGAAACATTAAATTTAGTGCTTTAGAAAGACCTTTATGAAATTATGTAAAATAAATTTTTAGAAAGTATTTTTCGAAATAATAAAATTAATGTTTTAGATAGTATTTTTTGAAAATGTATTGTTTTACATAATTCTAGGAAGTTTTTTTTCAAAATTTTAAATTTTAAATTTCAAAAAGTACTTTCAAGAATAACGAATTTAGTATTCCAAAAAGAATTATCTGGAAGTATGTTAAGAATACAATTTTAGAAAATACTTTTGGGAATATGAATTTTACTATTTCGGAAAATAATTTTTGGAACATTAAAATTATTTGATGTTATGTTTTATAGATGTATAAATGGGGAAAGTGTTGAAAGAAAGAACACACATTTGGCACCATCTTCAACACTGTCGAGAAAGTCACAAGCACTTATAATACTATCGAAAACTAGCTATACGTCTTGGGTGTGTGTGAAAACTAAAAGGTGAGAGAGAGAGAAGGTAATAGTGTGAAAATTGAAAGAGGAGAGAGGAAGAGAGTAATGTAAAATTGAAAAAAAAATTAAAATTACATACTGAAATAAGCAGGGAGTGGGGGAAAGATAAGAAAGTGCATATGAAAATTGAAAAGAAGAGAAAAAGGAGAAAAGAAGGTGTGTCAAAAGGAAGAAGAAAGTGCTAAATTGAATATTGGTAGTATAAAATAAAAAAAATAATTAAAGATATTATAAGAATTTCTTCATTTATTTAAAAAAAGGTGTATATAATATATCATGAGCTTATATATATATATATATATATTTTTTGGATTGCTATAACCCATAATGATCCCATTTTTTTATTTTTATTTTTTAAGGGGACGAGGTCCATAGTGACCCTACTTTTATTTATTTATTTATTTTTATTGGGTCATTGTGGTCCATATCATCTTTATTTTTTTTATTAGGTTGTCATGGACTATATCATCTCTATTTATTTTGGGTCATTATGACCCATATCGTCTCTATTTTATATTGTTTGATGATTTAAAATGAGTTGGTTGTAAATGGGTCTTTGAGACCAAATGTGACTTGAAAGACAATATTGAAAAGTACAAAGCTAGACTCGTTGTCAAAGGTTTCATTCAAAAAGATAACATTGACTATAAAAAGACCTATTCTCTTCAGTTTTTAACATGGACTCTTTTTGAGAATTGTGTTGGTTTTGGTAGATCATTATAATTTAGAGTTTCACCAAATGAATGTAAAGATTGCCTTTTTAAATGTTTTTATAGGAAAGGAAAATATGGTGTCTAAATTAAAGAAGTCAATATATGAACTAAAACAGACTTCCAAACTGTGGTATCTTAAATTTAATGATACCATTACGTTGTATGGTTTTGTAGAGAACATCGTTAATCAATGTATTTAAACGAAGGTCAATGGGAGAAGGTTTGGAATTTTAGTCTTATATGTTGATGATATTTTGTTTGCTACTGATCATGTTGCTATGCTACATGATGTAAAGAAATATCTCTTTAATAATTTTGAAATGAAAGATATAGGTGAGACATCTTATGTGATAGGAGTATAAATATTTTGTGATAGATCACAATAAGTGTTAGGATTGCCTCAAAAAGGATATATCAATAAGGTGTTAGGGAGATTTAGAATGGAAAAGTTCTTTGTAGAGATTGTTCCAATTCAAAAAGGGATTAAGTTTAGTTAAATGCAATGTTATAGAAATGACTTGGAACGAAAGGAAATAGAATTCATCCCTTATGCATCAGTTGTTGGAAGCTTGATGTATGCCCAAACATATACTCGGTTGAATATTAGTTTTGTTGTAGGAATATTGGGTAATATCAAAGTAATCTTGGAATATATCATTGGAAAGATACAAAGAAAGTTCTTAAGTATTTACAAGGCACAAAGGATTACACATTCACATATAGAAGGTTAGATCATCTTGAAGTAATTGACTATTTGGACTTAGACTATGCTGGATGTATGGGCTCACAATCTACATTTGGGTACATATTTCTTTTAGTTAGAGAAGTGAGGTTATGAAAAAGTGCAAAAAAATCCATGATTGTCACTTCTACCTTGGAGGCCGAGTTTGTGGCATGCTTTGAGGTCACAGTTCAAGCATTATGATTTCGAAACTTTACTTCAAGATTAGGTATTATTGACGATATAGCCCAACCACTAAGGATTTATTGTGATACTCTACAGTTGTCTTCTTTAAGAATGACAAATACTCTAATGGAGCAAAAATATGGATTTAAGGTTTTTGTCAATTAAAGAAAAATTGCATAAACATAAAGTATGTATTGAGCATATTGGTACAAAATTAACGATAAGGGATCTGTTGATTAAAAGTTTACCATCCAAGATATTCATTTGTCATGTTGAAAGGATGGGTGTTATGGATAAGTCCTTGTTAATGATGTAGTATGATGTATATATATACATATAGTTATAATGCTCTTATTGGATGAAACTTATGAATTTAATTATAGTTGTTTTAGTTTATCTTGTCATTCCCATTATATGGTATACATTATTGTTTTAGTGAAATGATAAAAATGTGTCTTAGAAAGGACAATAAAGACACATATTACAATATTAATTAAAGTTGAGTTGAATTAAATGATTTGTGATACATGGAAGGAACCAAGTAGTTAATATAACTTGCAATAGCCATGATTCAATCATTTTAATTTAATTAATGATGGTGACTTGTAAATTTAATATATGGTGCGCTCTTCTAGTTTAATGTTGAATCTTCAAGTTATCATATGAGGCAGGTGGAAGAATGTTAGATTATTTAATCTAATAATGACTTATGTAATTAGATAATGACTTTTTTAATGAAAGGGTGTTTAATGTAATGGTTGTTAGACTTAAAATATATTAAGAGTCATTGAGAATTATTTTAAATTTATTAAAATTAATGTTCTTCCTTCTCATTTTATTAAGGATAATTTTGACATTAAAAATTTTGAATTTGAATATGAGAGGTTATGGAAGTTAAGTTAGTTTTACTAAAATTGTAACCTCTTTTCTCTCTCAAAAGGGTTCTTTGTTTGTAGGCATCTTAAAAAAAACTTGGTTTTCATGAGAACAAAGAAAATGTCAAGAACTAAATAAAAAGATTTCAAAACCATCATAGAAACCAAAAAAGGAAGTAAGAAAAGGGAGTATGTCTTTTAAATTTCTAAATTGCATTATAAATCTGAGTATGTCTTTTAAATTTCTCATAGAAATTACAAAATATAGTAGTAGTAAAAAATGTGTTATCTAAGAACCTTAAAAGAGTGTAATCTTCTCAAATAATAAACACTATAAAATTACATGTAATTATAAAATTTGTTTACACACCATTCAGAATCTAGAAACCTAAATTGATATATACTAAATAATATATAGGAAGGGGAAGTTTTAATAGAACAAAGGGAAATGCTATAATGTGAGTTTGAAACAAAGTAAAATGTGATTATAATTTATAATACAGTTTCAACCCATTTAGGGAATGAAATACTCCAGCTTAGTAACTGAGATAGCACTTTGCCTTATATAGATGCATCAGGGAGTCATGTAACCCTGATAAATACTAATTATATATATATATATATATATAAATACTAAAATGAAAAATTGAAGTGTTACAACCTCCAACTTTGTGTTCATAATAACAGGAGTCTCCAGATTCATTAAGAATTTCGAAAGACGTAAAACATTTTTTTTTCTCTCTATTTTTTTTTATTACATTTGAACTTTTTCTCCCTTCACTTTTTATCTCTCAACTATACAAAGTATTATATGAATTGTATCATAAATCATTATTTATGATATGTTTATTGAAGTTTTAACAACTACCTTAAAATTAAATTATATTAATATTGATGATTTGTGATTAACTGGCTGTATAAAATATTTTATACTTAAGTTGCATTGGATCGATGACATAAAACCCTAATACTTATACGATGGGTTAAGCTAAGAATTTTTCAAGTCTTTCCCCAATTGTTGCGGTTAAGCACTTGAGCTGACACAAGACAAGTTGAGCTAAGAATTTTCCAAGTCTTGCCCCAATAGTTACGGTTGAGCCTAAGTCTTCTTCGAAAACTGTATTTTTTTTCTTCCATAAATTATTTTTCTATTTATTTTAAATTTGAATGCTGTACATGTTAGCAAAACAAAAAAAAGTTGAATGCTGTTGCCTTATTATTATTATTATTATTTTTTATACTGCAGAAAAGTAATGCAAAGATCCAAA